CCCCAAAACCCCAAAACCCCAAAACCCCAAAACCCCAAAACCCCAAAACCCCAAAACCCCGAATAGAAGATTTTGTATTGAAAATTTTATTTGATCTTTGATTTCCTTTTATTATATTCTTTTAGGATCTATGTGAAGCTGATCTTTGGTACCAAATGATGGTAGTCAAGTGCATCTAGGGCTAAACTTTCATTTGCCATGTAATGAATTGGGTACTGCACGATATGGCCAATAACACCATCAATATACTTTTCATACACATCGAATTTTTGCTGAACACTCATATTTTCCATTGCTTCTCTATCAGCTAAAAGATCATCGAAGTTTCTTTGATGGTTGCTTGGTTCAGCTTTGAAAATCTTGTAGTATATTTCAGAGTTTGTTTCTGCTCTTTCTTTAATAAACTGCCAAAATTCATCACTTGCGCAATCAATTATTTCATCCTCATCTTCCACACCGATGTGCTCTATATCAATCATTAGTATATTTAATTATCAAGAATGACTTACGGCACATTAGTCTCTTTCTAAATTCATGGACTGCTCTTCCAACTTGGAAATCTTGTCCATCCATCACACTGTCAACCTTTTCAGTATCCTGGACAAGGACACACACTTCAGAGTCTCTGGATCCAAGCATGGATCTGTCATTAATATTGGCAGAGCCAATAATGACTACTCTGTCATCTACGATCAAGAGTTTACTGTGAATGTAGATCATTTCTGTCTTTGGTCCATCATCAAATACGTCGTGGTTCCTCAAAGCATAAAACCCAATATAGTCTTCAGCATTAATTCCTTTTCTTCTTAACTTAGTGAAGATAGAATTAGGTCCCTTATTTATAGTCTCTTGTTGGAATTTGACTTGGAACTTCAGCACCTGACTATCTGATTTGGTAATATCTCCCTCAAATCCTGGCATTAGTGGGACAAAAATGTATACTCTGAAATTTTCTCCATTCTGATGAGCTCTAATGATTCTGTCCTTGATAGCTTCAGTGATTTGGTTCTTTAGGATACCTCCTCCTCCTGCATTGGACATAAAGAACTGATTTTCAATATAGATAAACTTCTCAGCATTAAGAATCAAGTCGATATAGGCATTCATAATAGAATGTTCAACTCTGAGTATACCAGTTGACCAGTTACATGAGCTCCTAAGTACTTGGCATTTGCATGTTCCTTGCTTTTTCTTTACGAATCTAAAAATTATTCAGCAAACTTACTTTCCAATTATTCTGTCCATCGCAGCACCTGATCTCTTTCTTTGATCTTGTTGATACTTGGATTCTCTGATTTGTTGCTTTAAAAGAATTCTTTCTTCTGGAGTAAGAGTTTTAACAAAATCAGACATCAGCTTATGCCTCTCAAGAGTTTCATGGGTTTCTGATCTGACAACTCCTTTGAACAACTTTTTAAGATTATATGCACTGGTTGCTGACTTTTGCTTTCTTTCAATAAAGTTATCCATTCTTTCGACCAAATTTTCATTCTCAATTCTCTTACTCTTCATTCCTCTTCTTGTTCTTCTAGGTATCGTTCTAAGTACTCTGGTAAAGAAAGTTGGATTTTGGGTTAAGTCCCCTATAGCTTAATTAGCAAAATCTTACTCATAGTAGATCCTTTTTCCCCTTCATAAGCTTCAAGGTTTCTGCCTATGTTGAATTTTTCTTCTTCTTCCATCTCTACCACTCCGCTATTATAGTCTTCTTCTCCACCGTGGAAGGCTCTTTCAAGGACTTCTTCGTCTTCGTCCTCTGCCCCTTTATCAACTTCGATTTGATTGTCAGCTTCTTCAACGATGTGTTCAGCGTAGTCTTTCCCAATGATTCCAAATTCTTCATTTTCGTCGAAGTCTCTGAGATCATCGATGGTTCCGTCGGCATGCTTGCCTCGGAAGCCGGCAGAGGTATCCATGAGATTTTCTACTGGCCATAAGTAGCCACCGTCATTATCAGGAGTTCCTTCGACATCGACTTTGGCATTGTTCCAATATTCAATGAAGTGGACAGCCAGGTCTTGGGCAACCTCTCCTCTCACGAAGAGATGGATATCTTGCCAAGGCATTCTGGGAGTGGTATTTCTATCAATTAGTTCTTTACGAGTGTCTTCTACTTCCACAAAATCTTTGATTCTTGAGTTACTATAATCTTTTCCAGGGAAGGTATAGGTTCCATGTGAGTCTCCTTTATCTTTTAGGGGATGTTCAGCAATATCGTATCTTCCCATGCACAAATCTATTCCTCCTGCAAATGCTCTTCTCTGGTCGATCACGCATATTTTCTCATGGTGACTCCACATCTGGACCAGTGTGTTTGGATGTCTCATTACTTTGATGTTTGGATGCAGAGCTTCCAGAGTGTCCTTTACATGTTGAGAGCTGTTGTACAACATGCCTCCGACTTCGACTTCTTTCCAAACCAGAATCCACACTTTTACTCCTTTGTGTGCCAGTGTCAGCAACACGTTGTCGAGTCTGGCGTAGTCCATGTCTCCGTTGTACATGTTGACTGGTCTTCTCAAGTAAAGGCCCGGAGTCATCCACCAGTCAGTGATGAAGACTTCTGATTCAGCAGCCATCAGCTCATCGTAGAGTCTGTTCCAGTAGTCGTGAGCATTGATGAAGAACTCAACATGGTTCTCTGCTCTCATTGGAGAGAACGAGTCGTACGAACGCATCACTTTGGACTGCAGCCCGTTGAAGTCGATTGCAGTCTTCAATGCTCTGAGCCAGGTAGTCCATTCAAATGGGTCTTCAGCTATCAACTCGAGCCTGCGGTGCTGGTTGATGATGGTGATTCCGAGTTCGTCTTCAGTTTGCTCTTTACCATAAACCACATGGAACTCTTTGTCGATGAGCATGGACTCGTCAGGGTCGTGGTCTTCAGAGTCAGTCAGCAGCAGAATGTACTGGTCAGTGACAACGAACCATCTCTTGGCCCAGGTCCTACAACATCCTCCACAAAGTTTGTGTTTCCAGGTGCTTTCTTGCTTGAACCTCCCACCAGACTTTCGCTTGAGAGTGCCTTCTTTGTAAATGACTGCTCCTCCGAGCTGAAAAGTGACTTCGCTGACTTCTCAGAACTCAAGGAAGATTCTGTTCGTGAACACATCAGGATAAGTGGCTAGTGTGTTTAGGTACTCACAACAAGCGTCAAGTGATTCCGCTCTGACTTGCTCGGTTTCGTCAACAGAGTCTTTGTATTCAGGAAATGCAATGTCGAACGCTTTGCCATCGTCTTCGATGTCAGCTTTGAGTCTTCTGTGAAGGTTATTTGAAGTTGTTTCTTCTCTTGACTATCTTCCACTTTTTGTCATTGTAAGAAACTTGGATGGTGAAGCCGACCATCTTTTTCCTATTTTGCAGTTAAGAATTGCAAGGATATGGGCCAAACACAAACTCAGGAAGTAATAGTTATCCAGCTCTGGTTAAAAAAATTGTATGCAAGCGACCCAGAGCTTTCTCAGAAATGATGAGGCTGTTGTATGCATTGACGAGTGTGCATTATTTGCACAACACTTAGAAGCAATGTATACAATCTATGAAATGAATGCAATAATGCAAGGATGTCTAGCTTACCATGCGCGGCCTGTTTGAGCAAACTCTTTCTTGAGCTTCCCGTTGGCTCCACCGTGGACATACTCTTCTGCTCCAAAACAGCTTGTTCCGTAAAATGTTGCACACTCAAGAGAAGCAGCCTATACAGAACTTAATCCTGACTACATTGCAAGCAAAAAATTGTGCCAGAATGGCAGCCAACAAGCATCAAAGCCTGCGAGTGGCTCTAACAGAGTTGCAACGATCCAATGATCTTGTTTGGTTATAAGAAGAAATAAAGGTCTTACCACACTGGGCTTTGTGGCGGAGCCTCCGACATAATTCTGTTTCTCTTCATCAGCGTAATCGTTCATGTTGGATATCTTTGAGAATAAATTTTATATTTTATTTTATTTTCAGCTCATACCACTTCCCACGGGGTTTTGGGGTTTTGGGGTTTTGGGGTTTTGGGGTTTTGGGG